ACACTGTGTGCGAAAGGTCATTCTAAGATCATCAGTGTGGGGGTCGTAGAATTTCTGACGATTGACGGTGAACTTAATGACTGACGAGATCTCTAACGAGCGACGAAATGCCACCGGTGTTTCGGCAGACCATCAGGTGTCCGTCTAAGTCGAAATTCTACGTCGGCCCTACGTCACACTTTTAATTTCACATGATATATATAAACAAAGAGAGAAAAATATAATAACATAAATGATAACTATATGAACTTTGTTTAGTATTATAATATAGTTTATTAAATTATATGTGTTAATTCTATGTACAGTAATTTGTATAATTGCAACTTTTATAGTTGCCACGACTATACATTTTTCTCTGTGTAGGAGTTAAGATAGCAATGTATGTTCACAATTTCTATTCTAATATAATTATGATATTATATTTAATTTATTTATATAATTTACTTCTATTTTGATCCTAATGACGACTTAAATTCCCGTTTTCGCTGTTTTAGCATCGCAATAGGTTGTTCGAGGTGCGTTAAAATTAAATCTGTAGAATCAAAAGTTCAAGGAAGAAGTTAGCTGAGAGAAATTATTTTTGGCCTCAACTCTACCCTTTTTACAGTTTTATCCGCAAAAATAGTAATAGTAACATGTATATAAAGTTATTATCACTGACGCTATAGTAACATTTATTAAAAAATGATCCTGTAATGACTATAATTCTTTTATTATGACGATTATAGTCATGAATACCAAAGATTTTTTTTTTTCTCTCAGTGCAAGTGTCGGTACCGTCGGAGTAGATTCTTACTAGTCCATAGGCCATCCAAGTAGGTGCAAATTATCCTCAAGAGCGTCAAAATTTCGACTCGGACGGAATCTCGTCTGCAGCTACGATGCGGAAGGAGATTATGTTCTCTCTATAAACGTAATCTATTTTATAAGTTATTTCCCCCTCGTGGACGCACGAACTCTCGATACTTGTCGCGATGGGTATTACCTTTACGAGGGCAAGGTAACCCCGTGTGTGACGCCAGCCGAGGCGTGGACTTTAAGAAGGAAACAGGACGTGAAAAGCGCCAACTTGCACGGCGGCGCGTCGTAAAACGGAACGGTGCGATACTAAAAAAAGAAAAAGAAGAAGAGAAAGAGAGATATTTTTACACGCGGTTTGTGAAGTGAAAAGGGAAGGAAAGAGAAGGGAGAAATCGGCGAGAAGAGAATAACGCGGTGGATTCGCTCGGAGTCGCGCGTCGCGTCGGTCGTTGGCCAAAGACGACACGGCGTTATTCGCGATCCTCGCAATCGCGAATACGTTCGCGAACCGATCGTTTCCGCGTCTTTTCCGCGCTTATCCCAACATCTAGTCGAGATCCAGTCTGGCCAAGCGGAACGAGCGCACGCGGAAGACGGAAAATTTCCTCGCGCGACTCGAGCCGCTCGCGAGTTAAAGGTGCTTTTCCAACGTGTCCCACACAAATGTCCTGTCCGTGCATGGATGCTACATTGTATTCCCACGGTGGAAAAGGAGTGAGAGGCAAATGAGAGCCAGTCGCGGTCAGTGTCGCGCAAATCCCGTCAGAGGATGAGAAATTCTCTCCGAGGAATTCAGGATAGCTTGAGCGATAACATAGCTGGGATAACGGGTAACAATTTTATTCAACGACCCGTTCAGCCACGCTGCTCAAGTGCGACTGACTGTTCTTCGCAAATATTCGATACGAGATGAAACGCTCGGTAAGAACTCTTTTTCTTTCTTTAAGTCGAGTAATATCCCGCAACTATGCGTCATTTATTTAAACACACACTGCGTCCGAGTAAATATTATATATTTCAAGTAATATTACCTCAAGTATTTCACTTAAATTTATATGCCTGCAAGTATATCATAAATTCATCAGAAGCATCAAATTTATTCGAAATATATTCTGAATCCTACATAGAAAAAAAAAACGCTAGATTCAAGTAAATAATGACTCCTATGTTTCTTAATAAATTTTTGCTACAACTGCAGCAATTAAATTAAATATATAATATTGAGAATGTCCGAATTCATTTTTAGAAAATATTTACTGGGCAGCAAAATCTAAATTTAAAACCACTAGGTTTTTTCAATGGAAAATAAGTATTACATAATTACATAGTAAATACTCTCTCAAATTTTTAAAACCATTTTACACTTACATTGAATAATTCATTTTTACAAATTAAAGTATTACTGCATTCAAATAAATATTCACTACAGGCTATTGAAATACACTTAAATGAAAGAAAGTACGACTTGATTCGAGAGGCTAAAAACAGATGATTCTAGCATGTTTTTTTTTGTGCAGATTCCCGATTAGATTCTTGTATCTTCGAGCACATACAATTTGCGCAATTGGCTCTCGTTCGCATCTCACCCCTTTTTCGCTAATTGCACATCCCAGAATACGCCAACATTTATTCATATTCTCACTATTAAACGAACCTGTTTTATAATTAAATTGAATGGACATTTTTATACGTTAGATAAAAGCGCTCCCGCTCTTTCCCGAATACGTGGTATCTCCGTTTAATCTTTCGGAGTGTACCTCATTACTCGAGCACGGGACAGACGAGAGTGTAAAAGGACCTTAATACGCGGCCGTTTTATATTCCAGACGGTCGCGGGGCTCGCCGGGGAAACGCAACGGTCGGTGTGTGTCGCACGTGTGCGTTGCGCGCGTAGAGCTGTGGAATTGTGAAAAACCGGTGCATCGCGTTCTTGCGCCGTAATTGGAAGCGAGCGTCGGGCAATGCGCTAACAACAGCCTCATTCATTCCTCGGGCGCGCTTATACGCGGTTACTCGTTAGCTCGTCTTCTAATTACCGGGGGCGCGCACCTCGCAGACGCGCAGATCGCGCGAGAGAGAGCAGATTTGGATTTCGCTCCGCGAGCCTCGGCGGATTCTCGGCCCGAGCCGAAGCGGCTACGAAACAGCGCGTAATTTCATTCCGACGATTGAACGTTGTCGAGCCACACTCGACGTTAATATTCCCGACACTTCATCCTCTGATACGCGGAAAACCAATACTTTCCCCCTCGACATTTTTCCGAATCGGAAAATTTTTTATTCGATTAACGAGTTTAGTTTATTTAGGCGTCGGGAAATGCTGAAACACTGAATTTATTGCAGAACGTGACGGGCTCTGTTGTTTTATCGCAGAGCGCAAATTCGCAACAGTCAACGGATCTTTAAATTAAAAAAAAGAGGGGGAGAGAGAGAGGGAGAGAGAAAGGAAAATGTAAAAGAAAAACATACAGCCTGTTCGGTCGCATTTTTGATGTGTAGCGTTAAATACGCTTTTTCCGCAAGCCGGTCGACAACGCTCGACCAGCAAAATACGAGTTTCCTCGTGTTGAACGGTCAACAATGTGTTCAAGATCGCACACAGCCTTGGTCTCGCGGCGATGGTTGAACGCGCGTTTCATTCTCCCGTCTACCTCGGGCTGTTTTATAAAACACAGCTGAAAAATTTCACGCATTCCGCGCTCTCTCGATACATTTCGCCGATATGCCGTACACGCGTCCGCACCGATGAAATTCATGCTATAACGATCATCGATTTTGTCCGGGCGAAGCCGCTCGCAGTTTTCTGGCGTTGTTTATCTCTAAATATAAATTATTCGATCGTATCGACGCGTCGCGACTGTGCGCCGCCGGTGTTTCTCGAGAAAAAAAGAAGATAGATAAATAAATAAAATGAAACAAATAAATGAAAAAAGAAAGGAAAGAAAACAAACGTCAAATATATAAAAATCGATACGGCGAGCGATTCGATCGTGTTAACAATTCACAGTCTTATCGATTATTGACGCATGAACAATCACGAGAGTTGTCTCCCCGCCGGGAGTGACTTTCTGCCAAACTCCAATTAAGCTAATCGACGATTAACCGGCAAATTGTCAACAGTAATTTCCAGCTGCGTAATTTATCGTCTAACAGTTACCCATCAATTAATTCTGTACACCTTAACGAAGTAAAGCGGTTAACGCTTGACTGGGGAATAGCGTATTTAAATATAAGTTAAAAAGAGAGAGAGGGAGAGGGGGAATATTTTTACTTGATTTAATGGCACATAAACTGCCGGTTATTTTAACATTATCATTAAGTTTAATAAACTGCTCCATTTTCCATGTTGACAACTCTGCCGGATGAGCTAATCGCTGATGATAAGTTTAATCGGAGTTTGACGAGAGCCACCTGAGGAACTCGACGTTACGCGCGATTACTCCGCCGCGGAAAGCGAAAAGTGCGCGTGTTGCGTCGACCGGTATCGACTCAGTGCGCATTTCATTCGCACAATTCAGACTACTTTCGAACAATGACACAATGTCGGGCCATTGTCAATCGCTGCTCAATACTTCATTTTTGTCTGGAGCGACTCTCTCTCTCTCTCTCTCTCTATCAAAGTCGGTTTCGTGCTCCGTCTTTGCGAGCAGATAATGGGTACTGCATAATATGTTTTTTCCGCCATCTATTATCGTTCCGCTGGTAATTCACCGGTGACGTTATTCCCAGGTGAATCATCGTCGTCGCCCGGGGAGCCATTGATCGTTAATCGTCGCTTAGTACCTTCTTGCGGTTACTATATCGCAAAAATCGTTCTCGGACTCTCGAAGAACCCGAGCGCTCGCTCTTCTTGTATTAGCTGATATTCCGTTTAACGCGACTCGATGCGCTCGCGTGCATCGAGGTCACGTGAGGTAATTATAATTTTAATCTCGGAGCGAGACCGATTCGTGCCACGCCGCTGCACTTACTATGCAGGTTACGTTACAACGAGACTGCGCGCGCTGTGTGTTACATATTTCCCGCGATTAATCGAGATAATTGTATTAATTGGCGAGCTTGCGGGAGAGGAAACGAGCGGGAGAGAAAGAGAGAAAGATGGTAAGGGAGACAAAGAGAGAGAAGGGGGGGAGCTCGATCGCGTCGATTTCGCGACGATCCGTACGCACGATTTGAATCTCGATTTCGCGCACACTAACCTCTGCCGATGTGTGGGTCGCGGCAGCGACCCAATCGCGCACGATGAAGTCTCCTCTCGACGAGCGCGAGGACAGCTACGTGATTCCGCGGATCCCGGCGGTCCCTGGAGCCGAGTGCGCGATTTTAAACTTCACTGATTCGCGCGGCGCCGTGGAGAGACGGAGAGAGAGCGAGGCAGAACGAGCGAGAGCGACGCGCTGGCACACTTGGACGCCGCGACGATGATACCACTACGGCTCCGAATCGGTTCCGAGCGGGCGATCTTGCGCGCTGCAAGGCCGAGAAACGACTGCGGGCGACTGTCAACGGCGGAGTGTTGTGACGCGCGCGAACCCAACCCGGTTGCCATAGCAGCGGCTCGGCGCGCGCGATTGGCGGCGTCCGGCGGCGGGCTTCGCTCGAAGTGAAACGAGTCGACGATTGGCCGGTAGACTCTTGCCCGTTTCGCGGTCGCACGGCGCATCGGGACGATCAGAAAAAGCTTTTCACATCCGGAAAGTGTAATTTAATAGCAGATTAAATGCGCTTTTATATCTCACGCGTAAGATTGAGTTATTGCTTTATGGTTGAATTGCTTTATAGTTGAATTGGATTAACAAAATGAGAGTGTGTATGTGTGTGTGTGTGTGTGTAAGAGAATGGAGTGAAGTTGGCTACAAATCCGTATTTTCATTAGTATAAGTTTCCAAAAGCTTGATTGCAAAATCTGGATATGTAGCGCTTTTTTATATATATGCGAGGAATATTTCAGAATAAATTTCATGAAAAAGTTTAATTTCTCCGAGGCCCGATGCGCGGGAACAAATAGCGTAAAAGTGCAGCTTAGCTGCACCCTGACTTGTTGACAAGAATCGATGATCATTTCTCTCTCTCTCTCTCTCTCTCGCTCGCTCGCTCGCTCGGTCGCAATATATATATATAAACAGATATAAGATATCTTATATAATTATTTTTTCTCTTATTGTGTTAAAAGATAACACAACGCGATTATAAACAGGTAGAGCATTGCAGGAAACGGGATATTCAAGGTGGTACAAAGTAGTTTAGTCAAATCCACAATCGTGACATAGAGCACACTTTATTTCTCAATTAATTATAATAATTATTTAGCATTGACCGAAATCTCTCGAATATACGTGTGATATATACACATATGTACATATACATGTGTATATGTATATATATATATATATATATTTATTTATATTTATTTATTTTATTTATGTATTGTATATTCTTCATTAATCGGAATTCAATAATCGTAGTAGATTAATTTTACCAATACAAGTGTAATTAATCGTAATGTATTGTCTGAAAGTATCACTGCGTTGCATCCATTGGTCGCCCCCTTCGCAATTCGTCGCAAAACGGGGATCAACGGAAAACGGCTCAGGGCGATTGTGCTGCACACGGGGAAAGGGTAGAGGGTGCACGTAGGGGTGATACATCGTCGAGAGGGCGCCTTTCCTTCACAGTTTAACGATGTCGCGCGGCGCGTATTTCGTGTCTCTCGCGAATCCCGGATTTTCTGGCGCTTACAAAATATAAGTGGGCCCGGTACGCCTCGAAAAACACGAAATTCGTCGCGAACCTTACACGAGTTTACACGAAGAGTAGAGACATTGGCGTAAGTGGCGGTATAGAAGGAAGGCAAGACGGAAGGAAGGAAGGAAGAAGGGACAGAGAACGATGGAAAGTTCCCGATGGGAGATCGAGGAGACAGGTAATATATCAGAAGCTTCTTTCTCCGTGACCAAGGATGCTCAGTGACTCGCGGGGATCGATAGATCCGGCGTCCGCTCGACCCCCAAATAGTTAGATTACAATTAGAACGGAAAATTCGCCGCACCCGCGTGAGAAGCGCGTATTCCACAGAAGAAGGTTCAGCTCTCTCTCTCTCTCTCTCTATCTCTTTTTATCTCGGTATTCCGGGTACTAAGGGGTACAGCATTGCAGAACGGAAAAAATCAAGGCTTTTGAATAGTTCTACGATTCTCGTAAATAATTTGCACTAACTCACTTATTGCGAAAACTATTCATTTTCACCGTAAAGCAGCTCCGTTCGATTTTCTCGCAGGAGCGGTTAAAATCTCCGTATCATTTAATCGGATTCCTTGAAAATTGTACCTTCGTGAACGTCCGAGACGGATTAAACAATAGAAGTGAATTATCGTTACTACAGAGATTCCCGTTGTTGAATGATGATAGTCTTTTCGGTAATCACACGAAGCCGAGAACAAAGTCGAGGAACGTTAGAACGAAAACGAAACGACGAGAGGGAAACGCGCTCTCAGGCGGGACACGTGAGCTCCCCGCGGAACAATATTCAACATTTAACAATAGCCAACATTTATAGAATAAGATACCGATTTAGTATTTATAGTTAAGTTCATTCTCTCGCGATCGTACCAATCTCGCCGCCTCTTTCGTGCTTTTTCTTTCTCCATCTCCCTTCCTCTCTCTCTCTCTCTCTCTCTCTGTTTTTGCCAGATCGCGCGAATCGGTCCGTAAACAATCAAACGCAATCGCGAACCGACGCGACGTGTAAATTATTAATATCACACGGCAATATAGACTTCCTCCCGCACAGGTAATAGTACTATATATATATATCTCTCTTCTTTTCTCTACCACTTTCTCGCCCTCTTTCTCTCCCTGGCGCAGTGTTTCTCAAATCGACTTCCTCCCGCCGCGGACCGCAAACTCTCGATCAGGGGCGAATTTATATAGAGACTATAGACTACTTTAAGCTTCATGCCTTCGGCTATCGAGCGACCCCAAGAATAACATTATTTCGACATATTTATCTGTCAAGTCTCTCTCAAGCTGTGCAAAGTGTATCGCTTGCTCACGACTGATCCTCCGATTGAAATTCCATTCAAGAAAATTCACGTGGAATTAGGCGAAGTGCAGTATCGACGTTTCAGTCCACGAGCATTGCGAGATTTCTCATTGTCGGTATCTTCGTGATATCCACGAATAGGGACGCTGTGATATCATGAAACTCGCCTATATTAATATTGAAACGGGTATTTAATCAAGAGTATTGATATCATTAGTGACACTATTATCAGAGAACAAAAATATCGCGATAGTATAATCAAAACTTGAAAACATTTAATGTTAGAAGAAATATATAAATCAAGGAAGAGTTTGTCTCGCAAGCTATTTTTATCAGGATTTCGTACATCTACGCATAATAATCTTACTATAATATAAAGATACTTCTATTCCATTTCTAGCATTAGATTTTCTACGGTTTGTGATCTAAAAACCTTAACAAAGAATGTATTAAAGCTCCTGTATCCTCACTATCCTTGTATGACGACGTTATAAATGGAAAATCGCATGCCAAGAATTATTTCGGTACACGTGGAGATAAAACGATATACGCACAAAATGACACTCGTCCTCGACTCTGCACACTTGTAAAAACGGACGTTTGCCTTTTACCCCAGCAATTAATAAATAACCATATAATTTACGTGCCAGGAATCATGATAAAAAAAATACAGGTTTAAAACATCAGTTGCAAGTTACACTAATTTTCATGAAGCAAAGATACATGACATCTTGAAAATCGATTGAGTAAAAAAATATAATAAAACAAGATATCTAAACTAAGTACTACTGATATGGATACGAATGTCGGAAAAAGATATCGGTACAAAGATATTCGGTATTAAAAGAAAAATATCGATACCAGTATTATATCAGTAATATCACAACATCCCCGTCTCCACGAATCATGAAACTCACTCTCGCAAGTTACGCAAAACGCGAGCGTCGTGTTTTCTTCGACCGTGACATCTTATCGACGCGTCTACGCGCTTTGCCGGCGGGGGGGTCGATCAGCTTCAGGCCACGAAGAGTCACTATATCCGCCCCTGCTCCCTTGACGCGAGATAATTAGCGTGTTATTGCTATCGTACGCACGGGGACGCGGGGCCCGGGTGACCTCGGATCTCTCTCTTCTCCGTCGCTCGTTTCCCTTATATACATCCATCGGGGAAGGGGGGAAGATGTGCTCGTGTATATGTATATGTGTATACTCAAAGAGAAGATCCGCGTCCCTCGGTATCCCCCACGTGCGTTCTAATTGACAAGACTCGACCGATCAGCCGACACGTGGTCAGAAAGCGTTCTTGTTACCGCGACCGCGGGGGTGGCACGCTCGGAACCGGAAGAGCCGCGACGACATCGATCCGGAATAATCGCTGTTGAACCTCCGCTCTCTCGTCCCCCACATTCCCATCCCTTCTCTCCCTCTCGATGATAATTTGAGAAACACTGAACCGGCGATGGCCCCCCCTCACCGGCTCTAAACACGGTGCTGTTAAACTTTTAATATTGCACAACATCGATAACACCTCGAGCGAGCTTCAAAAAGAGTTTCTTCACAGCGATTATAGGTAGGTTGAAACTCGTGCGGGCTTTTGTATTTTCCACATTCCGCAGCTTGTCCTCCGTTATATATCATACTCATCGTCCGTCTGTCTGTCTGGTAAAGACTTAACTGGCGACGGTGACAGTAGCAAGTGATAATCATAATAGTAGTAGTAATAGTAGTAGTAGTAGTAAGAATAATAATAATAATAATATAATAATATCGGTGGTATATATTAGTCGGTGGTGTAGTATACGTCGATCGCGATGCAGTAACTTAATGCTCGAACTTAGGAAGCGCCTTCGTCACGGTGTATCGCGCGCTTTTTTCTTTTTTTGGACCGCGGGGCATCCTCCGATTTCGGTGCGTTTGTCTAGAGTTCACCTAGAACGCGTAGTTACTTATTACGCGAAAGGAATATAATAGCTATGAGAGATTATCGCTACTTTTTTAAGCCATTCGTGTCTTTTCTCTCTCTCTCTCTCTCTCTCTCTCTCTCTCTCTCTCTCTTTCCCTCTATCGCGACTCGTTACGTATAAGAAAACTGCGTGACCCTTTTTGAGGAAGAGGAATCCCCCAATTCTATGACCTAGAATATTATATCTATACGATCTATCGGAATTGTGTCTACGTTATCGCACCGGAAGGAATTCTACGACGAACGGGCGAAGTCATGTCGGATAAGCGTCGTAGAGCTTCGTGAAATCAGGATGATACTATGTATTCTAAATATATGTATATACTTAATCTTAGTTTTTTTATTCATTATATTTCGCAACTCACTCGAGATCCGGAAAATGCCCACGGTCATCTAGGAATCCGTCCGGTTTTCAACAACAACGTTCGCACGCGAATTTAATGCACGGAGACGCGATCCCACCGTTCGACGACTGTGACAATGACGGTGATATGACGATAATAACAAACACACGAGAGCAATGACAATGAAAAAAAGAACGCCATCATGTTCGCCGTCGCCCTTATCGACAATATACGTGTAAGTAATTTACTCTAGTGTCATTACATTATGCTTAGCAGATATATCGCTCGAAGATTTTTCTCTCTTTTTTTTTTCTTTACCTAAAATCCACGTGGCAACAAATAACCAAGTTCCTTAATTACTTTCATTGTTCTGGCGGTTGAACTCTCGTACAAAGTCAGAAAGGAGCGGGTTTCGAAACTGATCGCCGATGCTGCGAAAGTATAATTACTCGTCGGGCCTACGTTAGACTACACTTAACGTATAAATACTACCGAGGTGCTGATTCAAATAGGAAGTCTGTTGTTTCTCATTCTCGTATTACTCTCGCTTGCTTTACTATTATTATTACGCCGATGGGCTAATAATACTAATCGAAATTATTGCGTCGGTTGCGTCGGTTATTCGTCAGGCGTGTATAAAAAAATGGAAACGACGTTTGTATTCGGAATAAATAATTTTTAAAAATCGTTAAAAAAAGGTTCGACATAGCAAACGGAAGCTAAGCGACAAGCGTTGTAAAGTGTGTCGGAAAAATTTCGCTCGTTCCTCCACAAATTCGATAAAATGGGACCTTGAAGATCACATCTTTTCTTTAACTATAAAAAGTAATTCTTCGTAATTTCATATACAGCACTGTGTACATGTGTGTGTGTGTATGTGTGTGATACCGTTTTTAATACAATATCAAAAAAATAAATTATCTTTTTCTTTCTATAAATTACAACTTCTCGTACATAAACACTAATTTTAATTTCATATATAGGTATTTTAAACAGAAGGTATACGATTTTGAATCGTATTCGCTGAACTGAGCAAACAGCGCTTTAATAAACATGGGTCGAAAAGTTGACTTTTCGGAGTTGGAAATTTCTCTAGAAGCTAGTTTCTCCATTCTGATAGCGGAAGAACGAACATCGCTCTCTCACTATCAAAACAAAAAATGATTTCCAACTCCGGACTGTGATGTCTCGACCCATATTTATCAAACGCTTCTTGCTCCCAAAAGTAGCGTATCCTTCTTCAACACCCTGTGCACTCGGTTGTATGCTCATTGTCCGATAAAGTTGGAAGTGCGTCAAATAGTTACGATTGCGAGCCGCTGTTCACAAGTTTGCACGGTAATCCGTCACGGCAAGAGCCAAAGTGATAGCACACGGAACATCCGACGTTACAGCAGCAACAGAGGATTCAGGAAAAATGTGAGCATTTTATTACACTTTTATCTATCGGGTAAGAGTATAACAAAAATCCGCTTATATTTACACCGTGTATTATCATTCGACTTCTGTCACGACCGATTTCTATGCAAGCCCACGAGCTGGTGGCTCGCACAATCGTGACGCGCCCCTGGCTTCGCGGGTATTCAAAACGCGCGCGAACGAGCGCACATCGCGCATTCACCGTTCCGGAATTTTTCCGACAACAAATAAATCGAGATCGTCGTCATCGAGAAACAATGCCGGGAATTATCTACAATAAAATAGTCACTGGATAAATATCGAGAATGACTTCGTGGAAGAGATTCGCCGCCATTTCGAGGTTCGCTTAAAAGTAAATCCTAATTTCTAGCTAGTGTCGTGTCTAACAATTAAAAAGGAAACGGAGAAGGGGAGGGGGAAAGAACGTGGAACGAAGGAAGGGATAAACGGGTGGTACGGTCGAAAGAACGGTCAATCGACTGAGGAATGGAAACGAATCGCTATATAACATTACATCATACGAGTACATTGCACGAGTAACGAGTTTTGCTGCGCCGCGCGGACCAACGCAAAAAAACATGTGTGTGACGGTGTCGCGATCGGATATATTTATATATGATCGAACCATGTCGCGAAGAAAGCCGTGCGCTTTTTATGATTATATACGACAAACGAGCCATGAAGAAACCAGCACGATTTAGCGGCCAAGAGTCTCCCTCTTCTGCGCGGCTCGCACGCAGGAGGGAGCGAGTACGGAACTCGATAATATTGCTCCAGCGACATTAACGTTCGGTCATGCGACGACGGGAAATTGCACCGGATCAAAGGAAAAAATTCGGGAATTCACTCTTTTTTTAACATGCAACGCGATGTATATATGTAAGATATTTGGAGAGCGACGTCGACTTCCCTCTTCTCGCATTTTACATCTCGGAAGTTCAATATAGCCTTCTNGGGGGGGGGGGGGGGGTTAGATCGAGACGTTGCTTTAAAACTGGATTAAATAGCTTCGATTAGCAATTTGTAATGTCTTCTTTCTTTTTTTTAATCGTCACTATCACCTATCGTACAAGCAGAAGGAGAAAATTTCACTAGGATCGGCGTCGATCGACAACGCGACTAACTGTCTACTGAAACGTTCTTCTCGTTCAGAGTTTAGCGGGAGAAATCAAAGATGCTGGAACAATCTCACCCCATCCGAAAGCATCGTGCGCGCGCGGGGCCGCGCGATGTCCCCGGATGAAGTATTCAATTCGCAAGAAAACAGGAAACGAACGCGCTTCGAGTTTCGGCTGATTACGAGGGACGAGATGAATAACAACGCTCGCGTCGAGCGTGACTAATCGAATCTCAGAGAGGGAACTACGTCGGAGAAATTCGCGCTTTGCCATATGATCGATCGGTTCATGCATATGCTTGACTTGTGACTCGCATCACCTCTTCTTTCCTTTTCCGCTACCTCTCTCTCTCTCTCTCTCTCTCTCTCTCTCTCTCTCTCTCTCTCTCTCTTTTTCCATTTTGTGCACTCGAACTGCGGTGAAAAGATTTCGAAGGTATACATCTGGGCACACGACGGGACGTAATAATGTAAAAATGAAAGAAGATGAGGAGAGAGCCGCCCTTGACAGTGAACTGCTATATCATAGGTACTTTTAATATGTCCGTGTGCCTGTGTAGGATGCGTGTTGCGTGTGTCTGTCTGTCCGTGTATGTGTCCTGTCGATATAAGCGGCACGTGCCCGCGTGTCTGTGTCGAGTGTTTTTGCATACGTATAATACGTCTATATGTATCTATGCACATATTTCCTGGGTATGCGTATTCGTGTGTGTCTGCGCGCGCGAAGGTCCTTACGTCGATAAAAGACACTATAATATTATATATGTACATTAACATGCGTAATAGAGGCTATTCTTAGAGTTGGGGGGGGGGGGGGGGGGATATCGAAGGGTGTTGTCATCGTAGGGACACTGCGGAGGGCTGTAAGGTAAGTGACAAGTAGGTAGATAGAGTCGTCGATAGGGGAGTAGTTTCGGGTGTCTTTAGGCTAGCTGAAGAGTAGAATATAATCCCGTGGTAGACGCTAGTGAACGAATGCTGCTGGGTCTTTGGCTTCGAGATGCGCGGCGTCGTTTTAGGGTAATGGCACTACGACCTGCACGTAGGTCACGGGGAAGTAACCGGTGCGGCCGTCCAGGCTGCCCTCGAACCAATTCTCGTCGAGCTTTTGGGTCAAGGTGATCGTGTCGTTTTCCTGCGGAAACGCGAACGTTGAGTGAATCTGCGATGCCGGGCTCGGACACAATGAAAGGAGGGAATGAGGAACAAAGAATTAAGTACGGGGAATTAGGAACAGCCCAGTAAGTAAGAAACATTAAATTCACCTTTTCAAACATTGATTGTATGCGGATTTTATAAAAATTTTGACATCATATTTTATGAGTGTTTTTAAATTATTATTTGATAATATATATTTCTAAATATTAAAATCATAGTATAGAAATATTATTTTTAATGTCTGGGTGAAATATTGTTAACAATGACGCTGTATACAACATTAAGAACTACACATTTGAAATCGTTACATGTTATAAAATATCATTAAAATAACGTTGTTTTAGTGATTTCTTACTTGCTTACTGGGAAGGAATTAAATTTTGACATATGAACAACCATATTTCAATACAATAAAAGCCTAAAAACTAATATAAGGAACACTATCGAAATTCTATTCCTTGTAATTTGCATGTTTAGTAGTTAATCTTTAAAACGTTCAATGATCATCAGTATATAATGAAAATCAATTGGAATCAATCGACAATTATCAAGAAAATGATAAAAATGTTCATGGTGACAATCGAAATTTATTAGAAAATAGTAAGAAAGTGGTAATCTTCTCGTTTTAAAAACATTCTTATATTCTTCATTCCTTTTATTGCATCTTAAAATAAAGTTTATTTCTAATCTAATATTTCTAATTCTCTATATTTAACTCCTCGTTCTTTATTCCTTTCATTGTGCTTGAGCCTTTAGTCGTAGTCTTTGAGCGGCGCAAAAATCCCTTCTCTCCTTGACAAAAAGAAGAAGACGTCTGTAAAATGTCCGGAAGAAAGTCGAATGTAATTGAAACTCTAGGGGACGAGAATAAATCGAAAGTTACGACATCGTCTTCTCAAAAGCTTTCGCGCACTTCCAGACATTGGCCAGACGCCTCTCGAAACGATTATGCGTGATGAAACGCGGAGTTTACCTTGAATCCAAGTTCACCGGGATTTTCGGCCTCGAAGTCGTAAAGGGCTGTGCAGCATGGCGTTCTTGACATCGGTGTCCTCGCTGGCGACTTGCTCGGTGAGGGCAAGGGTGAAGCTGAAAATAGTCGGCACCGAGTGCTAAACTACTGAAAGCCACGCTCGAGAAAAACACGTCGCTGCGTACACACGACTGTGTTATGCCGTGTTTCAACTACGACAACATTCAAAACACGGTGTTCGGCTTGCGAACGAACGATCGTCTACACGCGCAACATTGTGTCGGGCAAAGCGCGACGAGATGCGAGACGTCACCGGTCTCTGCGTTCCGATGCAATAATAATAAAATAACGACGCCCTAAGTGCTCGAGAATGAAAGTAAATTCTTCTATAGAAAATAAATTCTTCTATTGAAAGTAAATTCCTCTATCGATATACAAGTATATAAGTAATCATCGATGGAAGTTGCGTGAGCTAATTGAGGTCTCTGCGACGAGGAGGAAGTAATTCACTTTCGCTTTTTGTGAGAATACTATATCTGCGTGAAAATTGTAGTAATAAAAAAATCATAATGATAAGGTAAAAAATATATAATATAAAAAATTGTAACGATGAAGTACGTAAAATATATAACTTCCCAGAGTTACATTTCTCGTAATAACAAGATAAAAAATTGGATACAAGAGATTTATATCTTTTTTAGATCTCCCAGATCTGCCGTGATTTTTCAGATAAGCTGTTAGAAATGAAAATTACACTAAGAGAAATTACAGTTACTTTCGGCCTCAGCTATACCCACTTTTTATGGCTTTAACCATAAAAATAGTAGTAACAACATGTACATAAAATTATCAATATCAACACTATAAGTAACGCTTGTTAGAAAAATAATTCTTCTGACTATAATTCTTTCACTATGATGATTATTAGTTGTGAATACCAAATATGTTTCTCTTCAGTGTGCAGTATAAACTGGAAAAATTCTAAAAGCTTCGCAAATATATATTCCAAACGATCGCCGAGATTCTTCCTTCCCGTTACAGGTAGACCGAGTTCACTTAAAAGTTACTTAACACAACCTTCTTCTACGGCACAGGGTGGCAGGCTACTATTTAACAAGCATGCACGGTGATCAAGTCATCAGCATCGTCATGGGAAAGCGGTGAATAATTCTGTTGAAAGAAAAATGAAATATGCGGGATCGATCGCACCAACATGGCTTCCCGATCATCGATAACGAACTCGACGCCCGTGTCTGATTGGTATCTCTGTCCACGTGGACCGAGAAACTTTAGGGTAATTACGGATCGGCGTAAACGTTGGTGCAACCGCCCGCCTGCGGCAGGCTCGCGCGCGGGAAGGAATCGCGTTTGTCCCTTCGCTCGTTGGATAGAGAAGGAAACCCCCATGCAAAGTTTACCATTGGCAGATTGTGGCGGGTTTCCGGCCGGAAATAGCTCGAGCTGCGAGCGCTTCCCGTCCGCATGAATCGGAGAGCCAGCTCGACTTGCCCCTACATTGTGTCAGAAGGACAGACATTCAGGTATGCCACATTATACACACAGCACAGTCGGAGGAAGAGTAGTATGATGGTGTAACAACGCGCGCGCGCGCGCGCGCGTGTGTGTATGTGTGTGTGTATGTGTGCGCGCGTTTCACGCGAAATCGCGAGAGTCGGATCTTAAAGGACTCGACGTCCGTTGTTCAGACGCCTAATTGACAGCGTGATAAATGAACGTACACCTGTACGTGCCACGGGCGAGCTCGCGAAGTTCCGTTCTTTTTGTGGAAGGATCGATCGAACATCGATACTCCATTAATTCTCGAAATAAACCGACGTTTATGCGGCACTACTACGTCTCGACTGGTTCTCGGGCAATGTTAAATTTGCATCCCGCTCGCGCTAATTTCACTCCCATCGCCGGTTTGCCGTTGGGATACGTTTGGATGCGTTTAACGTGAAATTAGATAGGTCACGTTGTTCGGTTTTGACGGGTAAACGTGGTACAATTGATACGTGCGAGAAAAAAAGACAGAGGAAGGGAGAAAGAAAATGAGACACAGAGGACGTCCCGACGACGTTAGACGGTTTCGTTAGAAGTCGTTCTATAACAGGGTGGAAGGGAAGAATGCAATATCGGTCAGTTATGTACGACGTAAGAGGGATATGTAAAAACGCCAGCATAACAGAGNGGGGGGGGGGGGGAGGGAGAGGGACAACAGTTAGACAGCCAGACCACCCGAGTGTCGTCGCGTTGTGGCGGGTATTTGTGAAATTCGTTTTACCGTGAAGTGAGAAGTTCCCACCGTTCATGTGGTCCGACGCCGACAACCCTTCCACGTGCAGGTCCGCGAGCGTCTTCGGCACGAATTCCATCTTCGGTCTGTTCATCGCCTCCTCTTTCCTGGAGAGCGACAATTGTCCGTATTGTGAAAACGAATCAATCAAGACGAGTATTAGGCGGACTTAGTTTCAGGGTAACGCATGGCGAGCTAACCGAGTCCTTTTGGCAAAATTTTCGTGTTCCTTTAATCTCTCGTTCGCGTAAAAAAAAAAGAAACGAAAATTTGGTTCAACGAACAAAAGGCTGACCCGGCGCATTAGTGCATCTACCAATTATCCGCCAGAAATAAAATTACTGTTAGCAGTTGAATCGACCTTTTGGTGGTTGTACCAGTGGCGGTATCTATATCATATATGCGACTATATTTCGGTTTCGTTAACCCATTTGCGTCATTAGTGCGTCTATGCGCTCGATTTCGCTGGTCATTATCGCCGGAGCGCACATATGCGCTCGTAGACTCACGTTCACGGTGAGTCAGCGACCAGCACAGTGGGCGCTGAAATATCAAGTTTTTTACACTTTTCGACATATTTGTCTTCAATTTGTTAATGAAAAGTGGACAAATTCATTATAAGAAATGAGAAAACAAAATCAATTAAATATGACTGCTCCGAGAAATAATAAACTGAATATATAAAGCCACGAGGAGCCAAAGCATGGATATACAATGCTATTTAAATATTAGCATTGACAATATTGATATTTTTTAATTAAAACTATTATCAATATTAATATTTAAATGATACTATAACATCTGTACTTCGACTTCTCTGGCCTTGTATAAAAAAGAGAGAAACTTTTTGGGCAAATTCATACAGTAAAAATATTTCGGGCAATTTCTAAAGAGAAAGACATATTTTATCCCTGTATGATGCAAATGGCTTAACCCGTTACTAGTGATTAATGTCTGGTTCCACTATCACGGTTTAAATCTGATAAACGTCTAACTCGACGAAATTGACCGATCGTCTCGGTTGAATTGATCAATGCGATTGAACAATTCCGTCGAGTCAATTGTCGATTAAATTTACACCATGAATCGTGGAATCGGGCATAAATCTTGCAGCTGAGACTCCTGCGTCAGATCGTCGATCTGACGCGAGCGCAATTTGTGCGATGAAATTTGCATAAACCCTGAGACATGGTTCTCGGTAAATCTTAACGTGTGATTACGAGCGTACTTTTCCAGAAGCGTTTCAGTCAACACCCTGAGGATGTCGGTGCACTGTTGATGATATTCGAGGAGAGCCTCGCTGAAAGTCGCCAGTTGTGCCACTTGCTCGATCTGCAAAGGGGATACGAGTAAGAATCTCGAGCTTAGCGTCAAGATATCGCGGATCGTCGTCTCGGATCATCGATGAGACGACGACAACGACTACGACGACTTACATCGTTTTCCAGCAAATTGAACATGCCCATCTGCGCCAGATGAAGGCTTTCCGCGAACTTCTCCTCGGCCTGACGGATCTCGTCGTCTGAAACGTGAGAACCTGTTCGCAAACGGTCGCCCCGCCGACGTATTAAAAAAGGTTGCACTACTGGGTTGCTTGGTTGCCTAATCTAAACACTTAAAAATACTGCGCGCTCGGGAAACGGAAGCGCAATTAATTCTACGCACGCGGGGGAGGGTGGAGGGGCGCAGCTATTCTGACACACTGGTAAAGGAAAAGCGTGAAACGAAATTAAAAAAACTTCCTCGCGCACGGCATTATCATTCTCTGTAAACAACAAACAGCGGCGTGAGGGGACATCCCGGGATACGACAGATCCCGGGGATCATCTAATCAGGCGGCGTGATCGCAAATATCGACGACTACGTACGCGAGACTAGTTAGCTATAACTAAGCTGCTGCAGTTGCTGCTGAAACGCGAAACGAAAGTCACGTACCAGTATATGGCGACGAGGTGCTCGATCGCGCTGGACTTCCGAAATGCGGACTGACGGACACCTTCCCAGTCGCTAAATCGTTAAATCGGCCGTCCAACGAGAAACGAGCGGGTCGCAACCGGCAAAAAAGCGAAAATCATCCGGGCAAATCATGATGATGCAACGGAATCGATCGCAAGAATTCGCGTTAGCGCGCGCTCAATCGCTCCTGTCGGTTTCGCTCGATAAAACCGAGCCAATCGTGCTAACATCAGCCCATAAAATAGATAGTAGCAGAAACGAAAGAAGAAGAGGAAAAGGAAGGACGAAAAGGAAAGAGAGAAAGAAAGAAAGAAAGAGGAAGGAAAACGTTCCGCACATGCGAACATGTAACATTTCTTTCGCTCTACTTTCCACGATGTGTGTACGGTATATACACGTGCGTGTAACTCTAGTTTATCGTTTTACTCGATCGTACGATCGTGCAGCGGAACATGCGCGGAGACGAGAGAGAGAGGGAGAGAAAGAGAGAGAGAGAGAGAGAGAGAGATCTTTCTCCTTTCTATTACGCGCGCCGTTCGCCTCTACCCGTGCAACGATTTCATACGATATCGCATTCGTAATAACGCGCTGCTCCACCGAGAGCGAATCATCGCTTCACCGGGGGAAGAGCGAGAGTGTATGCGATTCTACTTTTTCATGCCGACAATGGGAAAAATGAAACCGCCTCCGTGAGAAGCTTAAAAAGTCCGCCGACGTGTCGTTACGTTGAAAAAGAGCACCGGTGGACGAGTTGAAATAGAAACCGTCTCGAGATCAGCGAACGAGTAGCTCGAGGACTGATCGCCCAAGTGAGGAATGTTTCTCATCAAACAGAGATATATATCGAAAAGTAGAATGCAAAAGATACAATTTATATATACACGGGGAAAAAGATTTCTTTCGATCAAGTATATCGAAAAAACAATATTATTTAGAGGAAATTATATATATATATATATATTTCGTTTTCAATAAAAAGTTTAATCTTATTATATATTATAAGTATCGTCCCGCTGAAATAAGGGATTTTTAAAAATATTTTTCTAACATAGAAATTCTTTCAAATAATTTATTGCAACTATTGTAATGTTTGGATGAAAACAAGAAGAGATATTTGATAAAAGGATATTTATTGTTTGAGAGACCGGACAATCCTGTTTATTGAATATTGAAATATTCGGTCGTTTGTTCTATTCGAAAAAATAGATTTGTTTCAATTAAAGAAATTTTATTAAATTCAGAGAAATCTTTTCTCTGTTTGCACTAAGAGGAAAAAACTGGCAATCTCACTGTAAATTATTAGAGATTTTCAACGCCAACCATATCTTTTTCCCTAACAAAAAGCAGTGAGTCAATAATTATCCGCACTTATTGTGTTATAAATTTGTGTAGGCTGACAGTACATTTTTTCCCGAGTGGGAATGAAGAAACTTGTGATGTTGGATTAAGTATTGAAAATCAAAGGGACTATATTGAAAAGTAAAATGCTTATAAATTTTTTACTGTTCTCATAATAAATTTTATATATAGAGTGCGGAATAATTATTGACTCATCCTCGTAGTTCTAACTGTTAAAAAGCAAGTGCAGTTCTAACAAGAAGTAATAGTAATATGCTGGACAAGATTATCATAAACAATATTATTGAAGCGTTCATTATAAAAAGTGGTTTTCCCGACTATAATCATTTCCCCAACTGTGTAATTATACGGAAGAAACAGTTGGGTCGAAATTACCCGAAATGAGCAAACCAAAAGCGCTATGATTAAAGGAGAAACTGAATTTCTGGTTACAAGAATCGAATTTGTCTCATAAGAATCGGAAATTCTGTTCCTCTTTCAACCAAAATATGTCTAGTTCATTCATTTTAGATAAATTCAACCAAACTGTTTTTTCCGTGTACAGTCACGAGTATCGGTCATTTTTCTTTAGTGTACGATATCTCGTTGAAAGATCGAGCTTGAAACCATGAAAACATGGATTCTCGACAGGCGTGACCTTCTTCTCATCAAAGTTACCATCGGTGGGCCATCGTTCCCCGTGCGCTTACGTTCCCCTTTACGATCCCCATAATCCCCGGGAATCACAATTTCGCGGTTCCCGGCGATGCTACACGACTTGTATGACGATAGTATCGTCATCCCGGTTACAGTCCCATCACCGAGCGCAAGTGGTTTTTATTTCAACTCTTTGAAATCGCGAGCGTTCTCTACGCGTTCTCGCGCGCGCTGCAAGGACACGTGCGGCTGCGGCGTCGCTCGCGTCTGAATAAATCAATAAGAACGCGTACGCGAGAAAGAGAGGGGGAGAGAAAGAGAGCGTGCAGCAGGGTGCTCGCGTACCTTTCGCTTGACGTCTTCGTTTGCAATCGAAATCCAGCCTGCGACCTTGCAGTTTCTTCCGGTGATGCTAAAATGAAATTCAGAGAGAAAGATGAGATCACACGCCGGAGACACACTCTGGGCAAGGTGAGAAAGTAGTAGCGAACTCCCGTCCCCAGCGACACGAACGGCGGCGGGGGAACGCACAACTTTTCTAATAAGCGTACCATCACTTCTTTGAGATCCTTGGTTTGCAGATGGTGCAGCGGCTCGAGGAAGTTCTGCTTGATGTTGTCGTCTAACGAATATTTCACGTCGGCCATCTGCTTCATGGCTTCGCCTATTTCAATGAGAGCCTGGGCTACAAGAAATGATGGAAAAAAAAGGATAAAGGACGAAGAATTATGTGGTGCGTCCCGTCGCTTTATCGATTCGCAAAATGTTCCGCGTACTTAACTGAACTTTCTCAACTCTCTTGGGTTTTTCGCACGGAAAAAAAATTCCGTTGAATCGGTAAAATTTCCAACAGTAGAATAACTGGAGCAGATCTTCTTCTTGATTCAATGGCAAATATTATTAAAACTACTATATTATATATTGATTCAATAACTAAGATGTTAGTTTCAATGATATTGCTATTGAATCAAGAAGATTTGCTCCAATTACGCATACTGCTGGAAATTCTATTGATTCAACGGCATTTTTTTCTTGTATATTTTTATACAATCTCGAAAACTGGTTTTAAAAATCAAGAATTACAAGCAGGAAAAAAAGACTGGTTGTATTAACGTAACAATGAACGAGTAAAACGCGTTTTCGTCGAAGAAAACAGAATTTCTGGTTCTAAGAAGCGAATTTGGTTAATGAGAAATTCCGTTTCCTTCAACGAAAACGCGATCGTTCGTTCGTCGTCACGTTAATTTATTCAATCTTTTTTCTCCGTGCAAAAAATAGACCCAAGTTAATAAGATACAACACAAAGTTTAATTCGCGTGTGGAGTCAACTATTATGTATTTAATAGACGTTATTAATGGAACTTTATACTTTACTTGCGCACTCCAACGCTCGGTTTTTATAGGTCCGTTTTTTGTGTGGTTTCTTTTCATTTCTAACACTAGTTTTATTCTTTCCTTAGATTTCCATGCGACATTGAGTACCGATGTTTTATTACCGGCATAATCATGTTTAATTCGCACAAAGAACGGAATTGCAATACGAATAATTGCGACGCAGTTTAATTCAATTCGCGCGAAATTATTCCTCTCGTACGCGGTCAATTGTGAATTTCTCCGCTTGAAAACAACGAGCCGCCGAACGGGGAGAGAATTTCTGCTGCGTGGAGTCGCTCTGGGGAGGAGCTTTCAGAAAATGAGAGAATGCTCTCGAGAAAAAATTCCGTCGCGGCAAGGCGGCGGCATAACGTTAGGTCGCTCGGTTGTGAAGCGCATGTACCGAAAATGCTGTCCTCGCCCATCTTCTTGCCGTAGGTGAGCATGCAATCGCCGAGTACACCTTCCGGCTGAGGATAGGTCGAGGCCTTCGCCTGGCCGCTGAGCTTGCTGATGCCCTTGACCGCAGCCATCTTCGCTCTCGCCGTTGGATTCGGCTGGAGGAACTCCTTCGTCTTCATCTGCAGCTCCTCCACGAGCTCGTAGGTAACGTCTGTTTTCTACATAGGACGTTTTCACGTGAACACATTGCCGGTTAAGTCGCTCCGGCTGCGTTGAGCCCCCCCCCCCCC